GAGGTCCCAAGGCAGCCTGTGCATTGACAATTATATGCAATCTGTTGCAATCATTTGCTTGAGAGAAAGCCTATTTCTTTTAAACAAACACTGGATTTATTAGCTAATCTTTGCAAAAAAGAGAGGCAATTTAGGCTGGTGAGTGTGTCTATCAAAGTGGTGAAGGGACAAAGAATTCTGAAATTATACAAAAATATTATTGTGTTGTGTTACGGTTTCAATAAAAAAAAAAAAAAAATAGTGTGAATAGAGATATTTTCTATCTATCTATCTATATATATATCTATATATATATATATATATATATATATATATATATATATATATACACACACACACACACATACACATACACACACACACACACACATATATATACAGATACACAAAATAGCTTTAATCAATGCTTTTGTAGCTGTTAAATCACACCTATGATGTCCTTTTCAAGCAGAATTTCTCTCTTCATAATAAGCATTTTCTCATGTCATCCCAGTGTGTTTATCTCTCATTTTCCTAGTCCATGGCAGCTTTGAATCTTCACCTCCCTGTTCAAAATCTTAAAAAAATGCCTTCTGAACACTTCCTGTAGCATCAGGTATCAATCCAGGAAACTTAATATCCCATCATGCACTGCTTTACTGTATCAGGGAATAGAGCGTTTTTTCCTCTCTGGACCACACTGCCCTCATTAATATACCACCTGTTTTATTTACACCCACTTTCCTACTTCTTCCTTTAAGGACACCATACACTGTACAATCTGATTGTATGATTTCTTTTAGATCTACCATAAACTATGTAGTGCAAGGGCTTGCCTGATTTCATACAAATTGGATGGATTGTTCAGGTGGGTCCTTCTATTCTATAGTTTTGGGGGAATCTAAAGGAAATTATACAGAGATTGTACAAATCAGATTGCAGTGAATGGCCAGCTTTATACAAGTACAGGAGAGGGAGTGTGTGAAGATACTCATTTGTCATTGTTCTTGTGTATAGGACACAAATTTCACTTGGTGTGTTTTTTTAGCACGTTTACCCCACGACACGCACAGAGCAGCCCATTGATTTCAATGGGCTTCTCTACATGCAGCAACATTTATTAATAGGGCATTTAGGTATGTCGTGGTTAGCATGTTATTTTTTTGTTGTGCGTGCGTTTTGTCACAATCATTGCATGCTTTTGCATGCAGCAAAATGCGCATTTGCTTCCACGTTTGGGGTGATCAGTAGGCACTGGCTGTGTATTCCGGTAGAACAGTGATCACTGCCTGCATTGGAAAAGCATGTAAGTACAGAGGTACACGTGAGCTCTCTCTTTCGAGGTGGAGGGAAGGGGGGGGGGGTCAGTTGCTGGGTGTGTTTGAAGCTACTGACGTGCTTCCTCACACAAATTGTTTCACACCCCCAAGGATGTATACCAGGAAGTAAAATCGAGGAGTTTTCTATGGAAGAGACTGGAGGCTGAGGTAAGGCCTGCCTAAGAATAGTCTTCTTTTCTTTTCTGCAACAGAGGTACGCTAATGATATATTAGTACACAGGGTAGTTGGAGTTTAAAAAACAATAAAAAAAAAAAAAGGTGAAATTCGTCTTTAGGCCAATATTTCAGGAGGTTGTTGCTCAATCTGACCACTTCAAATAAAGCCACTGAATTTTAAGGAGACACCGAAAACTATTAAAACTAAAACAAATAAATTAATAATTCCTGTGTATTGGATACATTTAAAAAATTTTTTAAAAAAGGTGAGCGCTGGCAATGGTTAGGAAGCAGCTAGCACATAAGGTAAATAACAATCCCCACAAATAAGTGCAGCTCTAAAATTATATCACAAAAGGACTGTTGAATCAAGCGGAACAGTAAAGTGCATCACATAAAGATATATAACTGTTGACAAAATAATTCTAAACATTGAACGGAACACTAAAGTGCATCATGTAGGAGTGCAAAACTGTCAATAAATCAACTTCAATAAATATATTAAAACAAAATAATAAAGTGCATCATAAACATCATAATAATGTCCGTAATGATGCGTGGTATAAGGTTCACTATAGCCAAGATTATAACAAAGTAAACAATATTCTAGTAACGCCCGCGATTACATGCGATCCAAGTAGATGTCCGTGAAGTAATAAGGTGCGGCAAAATAAAGGTGCTGAGTGCAAGTGTTGTATTAATCACACAGGGGAATCCACCAAACAGATGTACACTCACCAGAATGAAACTGGTAACAGGCATTTCAAACATAACACATCTTGAGGTGGGGGGCAGCCAAGAGGTTAAGATGGACTGTTTCATCTTGGGCATTGGATGAAGGAAAAGATTTTGTCCTGAAGGAAATAGCTAATCACAGGAGCCAGAAGATTATAAATAGTGTAGTAATTATTTCCTATAAATACTGTATAATATTTATTGAATATATAAAAAAAAAAAAAAAACATCCACATGGAGTCAGATATGCAAATGTATAAAAGGAAAATACCAAGATGGCTGTCACTCCGTCCTTCTGCAGTGGCAGCGTGACGCCAGCAAAAGAGGCTCAACCCGACGCATTTCATACGCATGCACATCTTCAGGGGTACGCCCCCATCCTTTATACATTTGCATATCTGACTCCATGTGGATTTTTTTTATTTATTATATATTCAATAAATACTACACTATATATAATCTTCTGGCTCCTGTGGTGAGCTATTTCCTTCAGGACAAAGGCTTTTTTTCATCCAATGCCAAAGGCGAAACACTCCATCTTAACCTCTGGGCTGCCCACCACCTCAAGATGTGTTATGCTTGAAATGCCTGTTACCAGTTTCTTTCTGGTGAGTGTACATCAGTTAGAGGTGGTGGATTCCTCTGTGTGATTAATACAACACTTGCAATCAGCACCTATATTTTGCAGCACTTTATCGCATTACAGACATCTACTTGGATCACGTGTAATCACGGGCATTACCAGAATATTATTATCTGTTTACTTTACTATAATCTTGCCTATAGTGCACCTTATACAATGCAGCATCACGTACAATATTATCAAGTTCATGATGCACTTTATTATTTTGTTTTAATACATTTATTGAAGTGGATTTATTGACAGTTTTGCACTCCTACATGATGCACTTTACTTTTTCATTTAATCCATACAGTTTATGATGCACTTTATTGTTCCATTTTTTTACCTTGATTTGCACTTTTATATGATGTACTTTACTGTTCCGATTTGATACATACAGTTAATGATGCACTTTACTGTTCCGTTCAATTTTTAGAATTGTTTTTTGGTCGACAGTTATATATATATCTTTATGTGACGCACTTTACTGTTCCACTTGATTCACCAGTCCTTTTGTGATATTTTAGCACTGCACTCTTATTTGTGTTCACTTGTATGACAAACTGCAAATTCTATGGAAGGCTGTATGTAGAAAAGAGCTGGGAAATTAAGGCAGGTAAAGAAAATGCTGATTAAAAATGGGTACTTTACCAAACTTACCTTAAAAGTATGGGATGCAGTCAAATCTTCTGCTAACCTTGTTTCTCGACTTAAACCTCCTATGGATTTCACTTATAACCCTATCAACACCTTTGGTACATTGGGAATGGGTTACTAAAAACTTCACACAGATGCGATTCTTCATAACCAACAGAGGGTATAAAACCCCTACCACAGGGGGGGGGGGGGGGCAACTGTGGCCCTCCAGCTGTTGTAGAACTACAAGTCCTATGAGGCATTGCAAAACTGACAATTACAAGCATGACTCCCAAAAGCAGAAGTATGATGGGACTTGTAGTTCACCAACAGCTGAAGGGCCACAGTTACCCACCCTGCCCTAGCACAATTACAGAGGAAAAAAAGCTGCTGCATAGTAAGCCATTTGGATACGTACAGAAAAAAAAACACTACTTGCAAACCAATATATATGTTATCTGGAGCGGTCTAGGATGTTTACATTTTTTGAAGCCAAATGTGCTTCAGATTCACATGCCCTTGGTTTTATCTTCTTTCTCTACTCAACTCATGGCACCCTTGTCACAACAGCCCTCCGCCCACCCACAAAAGGTTATCAGATCTGGGAAATTAGTTACATGCTTGTGACTGGACCCCAAATTCTAACTGTATGGTGCCTTGTTCCCTCTAGAGTATCCAGATACAATCCAGGATGCCCGTAAAACCGTTTTCACAACTATGGGCAGGTAGGCACAATATAACATAAAAATGGGTGCTTTGCCATTTTGCTAGCCAGTTATTCTCAGGAAACAATGGATGGAATGTCGACTTTAGCAGTAGATACTGCTTCCTAGAAGTAAAATCACTCTGTATAGTGAATTAACAGGATTTCTCCAATTCAGGTTTCTGTGTTTTGAAATCCACTGGGCCATCAGATTGTACTTGAGGTCTAAGTCTAAGGCCAACTCAAAGTAAACCTTTTGCTCATTCAGAACATCTAAATGGATACTATCAGTTAAAGCATAATAGTGTGACCTAAATGTGAACAACTTGGTCTAAAATTTGAGTTTGACTGTCTCTAAGCCTCCCTAAAGGTTGGTGCCCAAGATGGGTGGTCTCGTGGGCCAGCTTAAACGTGAGGTTGCGCTTGTTAAATCAGAATGCTTTGAGTGCCTGCAACTTTAAAAGCAAGGGCAAGTGGTGGGTTTACTTTAAATCCAGAAACCAAAAAAGTAACAATTCAAAGGAGTCACTCTAGCAAAAGACGGAAAGTGTTAAGTTATTTTTTTTAATCAAACTGATTGACCCCTTCCTACTCATCTTAAGCAGAGCATACTGGAACAAAAATTGATCCAGTTCGGAATGATAAGTTTCAATGGCTTGTAACTCAAACTGTTGTTGCAGCACTTAAAGCAAAGATGTAGCACTGAGGTCCAAGCCAGTAGTTAGTTGCCATTTTGAGTTAACAGATTGTCTCAGATCTTTGTCTTATTTGGGAAAGAAGGTCAGATGGGCACAAGAGGAGAAAGCAGTACATGTACAAGGAAACTTACCTGCCCAGCCTTCATCTGCTTCAGTGTCTAGGTTATCCAGCTCTTTTAGCTCAGTAGCGCTAATAATTGAAGGACGTTCAACACCCTCCGCAGCCCATGATTGTGGCGGTCGTCTTCTACTAAAGTATATCATTTAAAAAAAAAAACTAATTAGTGACAATTTCCCATGTTACAATCTAATCTATGCAGAAACTTCCACATGCAACATTGAAAGATACAATCAAATACTAAATGTTGGAACAAAAATGAAACAGCAACTGGAGAAAAGAATTACAATAAAATATTGGCACAATATTGTTACCAAGGTAAAACTGTTTTTCAAAGAAAAAAAAAATTACCTATTAGATTCTGGTGCTGAAGGATAGCGTGTGGGTGCTTGCATTGGAGGAAATGGAAGTCGTGGATATGAAGGAAACATCTAAAAGTGATACAATTCAATTAAAAGATACACATCAGTAAAGTATAGATTTCTAATATTCCTAAACACACACATACACACTTACATTTCCAGCAAACGAAGGCATCATGCCTCTGTACTGAGGAGGTAGGCCAGGTTGTTGTCCATTCAGTTTGATTTGCGGGGCTGACCCTTTGCTCTGGTCCGTAGAACTAGGTAGTGCAGGGGTAGAAGATCCATCTTCTCCAAGGGAGGCAACATTTTCTTGGTCAGCAGGGGCAAGAGGCGTACCAAGATTCCTTCCTCCACCTTCCCGCCAACTGGCCACATCCGCTACAAAAAAAAAAAAAAAAAAAAAAAAAAAAAAGAAGGGGATGATAAGATTTTGCATCTCATTTCTAACAAGCAGTGATTCTAAGACAAACAAATATCTAGTAAGATACTGAATTAAGCAAAGCACATTTGTTACTAGCAGCATTCACAAGACCTTTTCATGAAATTGCTAAATAAATGCTTTTGTTGAAAGGAACCAAGGGGGTAATGCAAGAACTGATAACTGTACCAACAAAATTTTCAAATTTGCCCTAAATGCATCCAGAAAGACCCACAACACCTGTTCGATCACACAGTGGAAAGGGGGCTGAAGCGCAGTGGGATAGGGCAGCATGTCTGCAAAGTGTCACGTGACTCAAACTGCATGTCAAGATCACATACTAATTCCATTATTCAGTGGCCCACTTGTAGCAAGATTTAAAGTAGAATTCCAGCTAAAGCCTAACTAGCCTTAAAAATGCTCTCTCCCACCTACTAACCCCTATACTAACCTATGTAAAAAAGATATATATAATAACCTATTTTCCAGCCCACGCCAGTCAGATGATCTGGCTTCCCTGTGTCAGACAGCATCGGCTACAGGAGAGAGGAGGGACCACAGATAACCACTGAACCATGGGAGCCAATGGATGACTGGAATCACTCCCGGCTTTCACAGCCATTTGTGGACAATTTCTCCATTCCCCTGCCGCTGCTGACACAGGGGCTCACATGACCGGAACAGAAGGGGCTGAAAATAGGTAACAAAAAAACCCTGCCCATGCCGGTATTGAAAAAAAACAAACAAACAAAAGATATAAATGCCTTAACCGATTCCCCGCCACCCTGTAGCACAAATACTGCTACAGGACGGTAGGAATGCGCAAAATCTCACACACACACACACACATTTTATATTATATATATATATATATATATATATATATATATATATATATATATATAATATATATATATATATAAATAATTTTGTATTTCCGGCTAGGGGGCGTGCACGCCCTACCCACGCCGCTATTGGCGGCTACAGCTGTCAATCACTAAGTCCCGGCCGGAGATTCCCCTCCGGCACTCAGAGATCGCATACAATCATTGACAGGGGAGAGGTCTGAATATAAGCAATATAGATCTCTCCCCTGCCAGCTCCAGCATGTTGCTTTGTATTGCTCAGCATAGCACAGCAATACAAAACAGCATGCCTCCCTAGTAAAGCACATACACCACACATAGTAAAACACACACACAACACACACTGTTAACCCTTTGATCGACCCAGATGTTAACCCCTTCCTGCCCAGTGTCATTAGTACAGTGTCAGTGCTTTTTATTACCACTGATCACTGGATTAATTTATTAATCACTGGGGATGTCAGTGACAGTCAGTCCCCCCCCCCTAGTGTCAGAATGCCCATCGCAGTCCCGCTATAATTCGCTGATCACCACCATTACCAGTATTAAAGAAAATAAAAAACTTCCAGTATATACACACCGCCATTTGTAAACGCTATAACTTTCACGTAAACCAATAAATTTACACACATTGGGATTTTTTTTTTAATCAAAGACATGTAGTAGATTACATTTATGATGAAATTTGATTTAAATTTTTTACTGGATATGTTTTATAGCAAAAAGTCAAAAATGTTATTTTTTTTTAAAAATTGTCAGTCTTTTTTTGTTTATAGCGCAAAAAATAAAACAGAGGCGCGATCGAATATCACCGAAAGAAAGCTCCAATTATGAAAGGGGGGGATTTAATTTGGGTGCAGTGCTGCATGACCACGCAATTGTCAGTTAAAGTAACAGTGTCGTATCGCAAAATACGGCCTGATCAGGAAGGGGGGTAAATTCTCTGGAGGGCAAGTGGTTAAAATAGTCAACAAACATTGCCTCTCCTAACATGCACAGCTAAGTTTCGCCAAAACGCGAACAGATACTAGGACTGCTGAAGTGTAGTTCACAGTAGAATATTCATAGACAAAGTAGTAGCCCTTGACCTGCCATCCCTCCGGGAGAGATCATTTTTTTATTTAGAGTAGGCTATAGCTGGAATTCTACTTAAGGCTGCATATACACCGTCTTAGAAGAAAAAAAAAAAAACAAACAAAAATAAAAAAAGCATTAAAAAATGGTTATCCTTTGTGTCCATCCACATTAGGTAGTCTAGAGGCTTTTTTTTTTTTTTCAGTGTTTAGTGGCAGGGAAAAAAAAAAACAAAAAAACAAAACAAAACAAAAAAACTTCTGTTTTGTATTTGAGAGTTTTCTGGCAGAAAAAAAAAACTGAATGGGCCTAAAAGCTAGTACAAAAACCCCTCAAAATTGGGATTTTTTTTTCCCTGCCCAGAGTACTGGCATTTTTTAAAGCCAATGTGCATAGCCTTCAAAGCATTCAACTCACTGTGTAGCAGGCATAATGTGACAGAAGGAGGGCATGTAGGTAGGTTTTAATTAAGATTTTCTCATTTTTATTTCCAAATGTAGATTTTAAAAGAAAAAACAGAAGCCTTTTATGGAAGATCGGGGAGTCTGGGACTGATACAGTTTACATACACAAATACACTGACCACTAAATCTAGTATTGTGACCCAGTATAAAATAAATGACTGCCGCAAGAGGCATGTCAGCAACATTTGAGAGTAATTCAATATAAGCACAAGAAAATGCACTTTGCTTTAGGGCTCCTGGGTTACTCTCAAAAATATAGATGGGTACTTTTTGGCACCCTCATTTCCTGCAATTCCCATATGTAACAACTGTATTCCTACAATAATGCTTCAAATTTTACAGCTTTATCATTTAAGGAAATTAAAGATACTGCAGTCAAAAGATGCAATAGTCCTTACAGCCTAAAGAACCAAATCTAAGTGGAATACAGAAATAATTATCTGATATGCTAAACATCAGATTCCAGGTGTCATAATTTTGGTAAGAAAAAAAAAAAAACACATACACAAAAACAGTATTTAAATAACTTGTTTTTTTGGTATGCATTAATAGAAAAATTACTTTGTGGGCGCAAACTCGGTCCAGGTCCATAATTATCATCAGCTGCATCTTTCTCTTTTGTCTTTTCCTGATCCCCAGCTGCCTGCAGACTTGGGAATTCTTGCTGAAAATAGCTGTTCACCTGAACACCTGGAAGGAAAGGAACAAGAAGCTATAAGCATTCTACATACAAGCACATAAAGAAAAATTCATAAATACATATACGCAACATATAATAGGCAATACATATAATAAATCATTTTACTATGTTGCATGAAAAAAAAAAAAAATTTAAGCAAATTTGACCCATGGCTTCTACATTTATGCTTATGCACACTGGTTTATTTTAAACACGGCTTCTCCTAATGGGAGAAAAGTGGTGTTATAAACTCACCTTAGCGGGAGTTTTTTTTTTTCCAAAGCAGTGTAGGAGAGGTTTTGCAGTGTTTGGAGTTTGGGCGTATATTTCATAGGCCAGAATTTTAATTTATTTTGGCCATTAAAATAAACACTAGAGTGCTAAACGAGCCTAGCATTTAGGCATGTTTTTGGAGCGTTTGAATGCATTTTACTGCCTCTAAACTCTGCTGCTCCTAAAACTCTGATATTGGCCTATGTGTGCATGGACACACAGGCATTTATTCAGGGGCTAAAGCAAAAAAAAAAAAAAAAAAAAAAAGCCAAAAGCTCCTAAATTTGCATTTAGGAGCAGTGGTGTGCATGAGGCCTTAGGGTCCTTTCACACTGATCAGTTTTTCAGCTAAAAACAAACAGAGGAAAATACATAAAATATTATTATTATTATTATTATTATTATAATACAGGACTTATCTAGTGCCGACAGTTTGTTCAGCGCTTTACATTATGGAGGTAGACAGTACAGTAACAATACAGTTCAATACAAGAGGGATTAGAGGGCCCTGCTCCTTGGAGCTTACAATTTAGGAGGGAGGGGATAGTGGTACAAAAGGTAATTAGCTGTGGGGGATGGAGTGGTAGGAAGAGTAGAGGATTCCAGTATTAGCTAGGGTCAGGGTAGGCTTCCCTGAAGAGATGGGTTTCAGCGTGCGCCTAAAGGTCAGTAGAGTAGGCGATAGCCTGATAGATTAGGGTAGGGAGTTCCAGAGGATGGTTGAAGCCCTTAAGAAATCCTGGAGATGAGCATGGGAGGAGGAGACAAGGAGCTAGAGAGTAGGAGGTCTTGCGAGGAGCGGAGAGTACGGTTTGGGTGGTATTTAGAGACAAGGTCGGTGATGTAATTTGGGGCAGTATTATGAACGGCTTTATATGTCAGTGTTAGCGTTTTGAATTTTATCCGTTGGGCAATTGGAAGCCAGTGGAGGGATTGGCAGAGAGGGGTGGCAGATACAGAGCGGTTAGTAAGGTGAAGGAGTCTGGCAGCAGCATTCATGATGGACTGGAGTGGGGATAGCCTGCGATGAGGTAGGCCAATGAGGAGGAAGTTACAGTAGTCAAGGCGTGATATAATAATATGCATCCTTTTAAATCTTACAGAACTTTTCACAACAGTCAGTTGCGTTTAAGTGGAACTCTTTCACCCTACATGGACAGGTAAGGTAAGAACTGCTTTAACCAAAAGGGTTCCAATGAATGCCACATTTAATAAGCAAGCTATTTTGGCATCTTCCATATCATGCCTACCAGAGGCCTTCTAAGTTATCTGCAGTGGTAAACGAAGGAGGAGATCGTGGCATAATACCACGAGAATAGAGAGCTTTTTTGTGTACTTCTACGGGTAAGTTGCTGGCTCCTAAAAGACTTGAAGTGTCGGGCTGTGTGATATCAATTATAATCAGCTTGACTCGACTGCCCAAGGCACTACCTTATCAGGAAAGAGTTAAGCTAAACACTAACCAATAACGCTCTAAATGAGAGCGTACACAAGCTGTGCCTACTGCTCTTTTGTGCAATGCCTTAAGTTTACACTGGCTGATTTAGGGAAAACAATGTACAAGCTATGGGGCGTAACTTACAGAGGTATCTGTCCCGCAAAACTACATGTCCATTTGTTCTGTGTAAATAGGGGCAAAACTAAAATGTTACTAAAGCCAACCATAGAATGCTCAAATCTCGTCCAGTTCAGCAGGGACTGGGCAAGATACGGGCCATCTATGGGCAGGCTGGTTGCAGCCAGTTTAATTGGTGTACAACTTGGGTACAATCAGTTGGATTTTTCATGTGAATACTGCCAGTGGCTATAGGCGCTAGCAATAATCTCTGTACTCCTGGCAGGGACTGCTCCATCCACCCAAACCCCTACCCCAGAAAACACAACAGCTCCACAGGAAAGAAGAAGAAAAAAAAAAAAAAAAAAAAAAAAAGAAGAAGATTGCATCATCTATGGCCATCTTAAGCTATTCTCTCCAGTTCGAATGATATTTATGTATTAAAAGGGCAAAAGGAAAAGCACAGTTCAGGAAAATAATGCATTATGGGAACTAGCTGAAGCTAATGACCATAGTAAATAAGTATACATCCTATAATATTCTAGTGGCCATAATGTGAAACTTGAAGAGAAAAGAGCCTAGCATCCGGTTTTGCCCCATTTGTGCACAGCAGTTTCCCAGGGTGAATAGGTCTGCAATTTTTTTAATCTACAACTCGCTTAGGTGTCCAATATCTTATCTTGCGGTTACAGTAAAATACATATCCTCACTACAAGTAGATTATCTCGATTTTATAAAGCACAAAAATAAGGGAAGTGGAATTATGAAAAAAATATATATAAAAAAAAAAAAGCACAAAAACTGCTGTGCTAGCAGCAAAGAGATCACCAGTATTGGAGAAGTACATATCTGTGATCAACAGGTCATGTGACCAAGGACTAATTCAAGCTTTTATTAACAACACAAGTGCATTTTTATTAGGATCTGGCGACTCCCAAAGTCAAATCAGTGAAATGCACGTTTGTAAAACACATCCAGATTTATTTTTTTTAAGCAGCAGCAATGTACTCCTGATTGCATACATGTAGCCGCTTTAGAACTCCTCTTACCATCATTGGGTCCACCTGGCTTGGAAGTGGCCCATGATTTGGCAACAGTAGGAACCTCGGGCATAACGGGAACTAGTGGCTTTGGAGGTGGTGGGGGCACTTCTGGTGTTCTAAAGGAAGAAAAAAAAATTCACTTAAATGTAAAACAGAGTTCAGACAGTATATTGGGTTGAACAATCACAAAAAACACACAACCGATCAAAAAGGTCAATGTTGTCATGGACATATGGCAGGGGTGGGCAACTGTGGCCCTCCAGCTGTTGTAGAACTACAAGTCCCATGATGCATTGCAAAACTGAGTTACAATCATGACTCCCAAAGGCAGAGGCATGATGGGACTTGTAGTTCACCAACAGCTGGAGGGCCACAGTTGCCCACCCCTGGCATATGGCTAAGTGCACGTCAAAAATGTGAGTGTAAGCTTTAAACAGGCCCACCTATGAAACCCAAAAGAGCCTTCATTTCTTGTGAAATGACCATTTACCGCAGAACTAACAGAATCACTGAACCTATCAAAATTAGAACAGCATTTGTAACGAATACACATTCTACAAATGAACCTGATTAAACAACCCATTTTGATACTTTTTCTAAGTGCAAAAGACTACAATGTTCAACTGTTGTTACTGGTTTCTGTCTGAAAACAGATTCCCAGGAACCTCATCTACTCACACTTGTACAGGTGAAACTCAAAAAAATAGAATATCGTGCAAAAGTTCATTTATTTCAGTAATGCAACTTAAAAGGTGAAACTAATATATGAGATAGACTCATTGCATGCAAAGCAAGTAGTAAAGCCGTGATTTGTCATAAGTGTGATGATATTGGCTTACAGCTCATGGAAACCCCAAATCCACAATCTCAGAAAATGAGAATATTACATGCAATCAATAAAACAAGGATTGTACATAGAACAATATCGGACCTCTGAAAAGTATAAGCATGCATATGTACTCAGTACTTGGTTTGGGCCCCTTTTGCAGCAATTACTGCCTCAATGTTGCGTGGCATGGAAGCTATCAGCCTGTGGCACTGCTGAGGTGTTATGGAAGACCAGGATGCTTCAATAGCGGCCTTCAGCTCTTCTGCATTGTTCGGTCTCATGTCTCTCATCTTTCTCTTGGCAATGCCCCTTTGATTCTCTATGGGGTTCAGGTCAGGCGAGTTTGCTGGCCAATCAAGCACAGTAATCCCACGGTCACTGAACCAGGTTTTGGTGCTTTTGGCAGTGTGGGTAGGTGCCAAGTCCTGCTGGAAAATGAAGTCAACATCCCCATAAAGCTCGTCTGCGGAAGGAAGCATGAAGTGCTCCAAAATCTCCTGGTAGACGGCTGCGTTGAACCTGGACTTAATGAAGCACAGTGGACCAACACCAGCAGATGACATGGCTCCCCAAATCAACACAGACTGTGGAAACTTCACACTGGACTTGAAGCATCTTGCAGTGTGTGCCTCTTCATACTTCCTCCATACTCTTGCATCTCATTTGGAAACTAAGGACCCAGAGTTGCTCTCATCAGAAAAGAGGACTTTGGACCACTGAGCAACAGACCAGGTCTGTTTTTCTTTAGCTCAGGTAGGACGCTTCTGACGTTGTTTGTTGTTCAGGAGCGGCTTGACAAGAGGAATACCACATTTGAAGCCTATGTCCAGGATCCGTCTGTGTGTGGTGGCTCTTGATGCATTGACTCCAGCCTCAGTCCACTCCTTGTGAAAGTCCCCAACACTTTTGAATGTTCTTTCCTGACAATCCTCTCCAGGCTGCGGTCATCCCTGCTGCTTGTGCACCTTTTTCTTCCACACTTTTCCCTTCCACATAACTTTCTATTAATGTGCTTTGATACAGCACTTTGGGAACATCCAGTCAGTAGTCTTTCCCATGATTGTGATTCCTACTGAACCAGACTGAGAGACCATTTAAAGACTCAGGAACCCTTTGCAGGTGTTATGGCTTAATTAGCTGATTAGAGCGGGACACTTTGAGCCTAGAATATTGCACCTTTTCACAATATTCTAATTTTCTGAGATTGTGGATTTGGGGTTTTCATGAGCTGTAAGCCATAATCATCACAATTATGACAAATCACGGCTTGAACTATCTTGCTTTGCATATAATGAGTCTATCACATATATTAGCTTCACCTTTTAAGCTGCATTACTGAAATAAATGAACTTTTGCACGATATTCTAATTTTTCAAGTTTCACTCGTATCTTGTATACGGCCTTCTTAGAAGCTTGCCAGAGCTTGAGGTTAAAATTACAGGTAGCTGCCCTTTGGAATACAAATCGCTTTTCTTATAACACTTGGGACTATAGAAAAATTACACTCTCTTGAAGATGCAAATTGTCTGGCTGTCAGGACAACTTAATGCTTTAATGATCTTAACCACTTCATGTCCGGATACTTTTACCCCTTCCTGTCCAGGCAAATTTGCAGCTTTCAGTGCTGTCACACTTTGAATGACAATTGCGCGGTCATGCAACACTATACCCATATGAATTTGTTAGCATTTTTTGAGACAGATAAAACTTTATTTTGATGGTATTTATTCACCACTGGGATTTGTATTTTATTTTTTTTTGCTATATAAATGAAAGTCCAAAAATTTTGAAAAAAGTGTTTTTCTTATAAAATTTTGCAACTAAATAATAACCTCTTCATAAATCTTTGCCAAAATGCATTCAGTTATCTTTTTAGTAAAAAAAAATAAACCAAATTAGTTTGTAACCAAAAATATAAAATTTTTAAAACATTTTTTACATTTTTTTTATATATTTATTATTTTATATACTGTCACCCTAGCAGTACAGTGTCACCATAGTGACACTGCACTACTTGTGGGGGGTGATGAAGATTTTTTTTTTTTTACACTGATTGTTTTTTACAGCCTTTATGGGTGTAAAAGCAATCATTTCTCCTCCTTTCTGGCTGCATTCTTGCAGCCATTGAGAAATACTGTGTGAGCTGTGATTGGTCACAGCTTGTCACATGGTACAAGGCTGTTGTGAATAGCCTTGTACCATGTGATCTCTATGATCATTCACAGAGTTTACACGTAGTAAGCAATGATGTCATAAGTGACATCTTGTTTACACCTATTCATGTGATCACTGATTGTTCGATCAGTGATCACGTTTGGGACCTCACACAGAGGTCCCGTACAGCGATCAGTGTTCTGCTGTGTCCGGAGGACACAGTGGGCACCGGATCGTGGTGCCGCACGCTCCTAGGGAGCGCGCACAGTCCAAAATGGCGACCGCCGTTTATGAACGGATACCCGTCCCTGCACTGCCACTGTCCGGCTGTTTATATACAGGGGCCGGACAGGAAGTGGTTTTAAACAAGCATACAGATCAGAGATTCACACATTGTTTGACTGTCCCAGTTTCTGCTCAGGCAGTCAAGTACTGACATCAGAGCCAGCCAGGCAAGTTGCATTTTCAAAAGGTTAGCGAATGGTAGTCTGTTTTATTTCAGTTTAGGTTTTCTTTACAGAGGAACTAAATAGATTCAATCCCCCCAAGCTCTTGCTATAATGAGCAAGCATGCACACAGCATGCACAGGATTTATAACGATCTGACACACACAGCATGCCAAGATTATAAACTGAGCCATGCATGTGTGGCTGGTGATTTACAATTCCAAAATATTGCAGCAAGCACAAAGGCAAGCTATAAAATTGTAAACACCTGCAAAATGGCAAAAAAAAAAACAAACACCATACCCAAAAATTGTCCATATATTGTGCTTTAGGAAACTTTAAACATCAGTTTAGAGTTAACCCTAAACATATTCCTTTCAGGGGATAACTAATGCATATTTCAGAATTGTTATGTATGCATTCGTGCATTTGCAAGCACATGTATGTACTTGGGGGCATCTTTAAAATGTAATCTTTATGGAAACATCAGGGCTCTATTACACCCACATACTGAGCCTAGATAAAGTGATCGGGTGGCTATACAGCTACCGAAATCCCTTTTACTAACAAGGCCAGTGCCTGCAATTAAAAGAAAAAACAAAAAAAAAAAATTACAGAATGTTCATGATTGGTTTAACTCTGGATTGTTGTGATGTGTGGGATACGTCACTTGCAGTGAAAAGGCTAAAGGATTCATCTACTGTAAATATTTAATTGCCTTTGCATGGCCTACCTAAACACAAGAACCACAGCAAAAATTAGGAATCTGCACTATAGCCTGCTAAAAAAATGTGCAATACACACAAATGAGTCAGTAGATTTGTAAATGTACTTTTGGTAAATGGAGCTTAAGGCAGAACTACACTGCATCTGGGCACAACAAACCAAAAGTGCTACTTATTTTTAATATGGAAAGCAAATTCCCCCATCATCTATGTTTCGCTTTGAAAAACACCCCCTAGCTTTACTGGCTATGGCCACCTTGAGTAAGGGCAAATGGTTCATGTAGCATTTACTTCCTTGAATCCATCTGCCCTTGGCTCAGCATGCAGGCAGGAGGGTGTGCTTAGTTGAGAAAATCCCTCCCAAAAACCCCTGGGATGTATGACATCATTTACCGAGCCATGGAACCTAGGAAGAAACTAACGAAATGTAAAAAAACAGTTTAAAACAAGTAAATAGGATATACTTTCCTATCTATTTACTAATGCTAGCATACGAATGATTCAAAATAGTCAATGTTGATTGAGAAAGTGAAGTTCCACTTTAAGTTTCCTGTTTAAAGAGAAAACCGGTCACGGATACTCACTTGTCCTCTTCATTTTGCTCTTGTTTTGATGCCCAGCCTGTTCCATCTTTGGGCACAATGTTCACATTTGGATCGTTTCCTTTATTTTCTGCTTTAAGACTAGGCAAATTTGCAGGTGGAGGCATGCGCCGAGAAACAGCAACTTTTCCCAAACTTTGGAGTCCATGGCGTGCAGCAACTTTAGAAGAGTAAGGAACAAAGAAAGTAAAGAGCGTCAAACCAAGACTGGGTCACTTAGTTCACTCATAATGTGAGCAATGATGTTACAAGCAGACTACACAACATTCACAATTTCACCAGTTGCCTATCCATAAAAAGAAGGAAAAAAAAAAAAAAGTAGAAAGGTCGCATCACAGTGAAATATCTGCATTCAGACAACTGCATGTAATTCTTTAAACACTTTTACATTTGTCTACGTTCATGACAAGGACTTGCCCTGAATACATGAGGTGTGGGAAGGCCACGCAGCTTTATCTCTATCTATATCTCCATCTATCTCAATCGATCAGAAAGAAAACACCTAATGTGCCAAGCAGATGACGAATGTTAAAAGCAAGAAAAAAAAACAAAAAAAAACTGTATTCAGATACTACACTGCACTGCGTTGTAATTCTACTTACCAGTAGTTTTCTGGGTTTCTAGTGACTTTCCCTTATAGGTGTTAAACAGGCTGAGAGTAGCATACTTTTTCCCATCCTTTGATTTTGTGCTCTGGCCTGGCTTCTCCGACATGTCGAAGGAAATTCATCGAGTCTGGTACACTCTCCGCCTCACTTTTGGACCCAGTCCTCTCCTGACAGAAAAAGGATGACAATATGTTACATTTAGAATCTATTACCAACGCGTGGTCACAGAGCAATAGAACTCATTTCAGATTCTGACTGTATCAGGCCTTTGGTTTAAACTGAATTACCCCAACCATTAAACAGGACGCAAATATCTGCCTCAGATTTAAGTCAATGGGAGGAAGTTGTCTTTTTGGTGAAAGTATGCAAGTATGTCTGCGTAAAATAAAATTAAATTTACACCTGTATAAATAGATCTCTATCTTTAGGACTATCCACCTAATATTGAGTAGGTTCCCCTTTTGCCATCACAAAGGCCCTGACCCATCAAGCCATGGACTCCCCTAGAACTCTGAAGGTTTGCTGTGGTATCTGGCACAAAGCGGTTAGCAGCAGATCCCCTAAGTCCTGTAAGTTGCGAAGTGGGGCCTCTATGGATCGGACTTGTTTTTCCAGCACATCCTCACAGATGCTCAATTGGATGGAGATCTGAAGAATTTGGAGTTCAAGTCAACACATCAAACCCTTATTGCAGTGTGGCAGGGTGCATTATCCTGCTAAAAGAGGCCAATGCCATCAGCAACAATGTTTATGTAGGAGGTAACTACTAACATTTATAGGTAAATTGATCCAAGGAACATGCGATTGCCTCTCAGGGGATCAGGAAGGAACCTTTTCCCCCTGCAGGAGCATATTGGATAATGCTTTGCTGGGGGTTTTTTTGCCTTCTCTGGATCAACTGTGGGTGTAGGAATATAACTTTTTTTTTTTTTTTTTTTAATGGTTGAACTGGATGGACTTTTGTCTTTTTGCAGCCAGACTAACTATGTAACTATGTACGTGAAATATAACAGTCGCATGAATGGCAAGACCCAGCAAAAATATTGCCCAAAGCTTCACACTGCCTCCATCAGGTAGCCTTCTTCCCATAGTGTATCCCGGTGCTCTCTTTTCCCCAGGTAAGTGCCGCATACACATCTGGTCATTCACATAATGTAAAAGAAAACATGGGTCATCGGACTAGGCGACCTTCATCCATTGCTCTTGCTCCAGTTTTGATGCTCACGCCAATGTGTACACTTTTACAAGTGCCTAAGAACTTGTAAATGTGAATGTGTGAGGAACAATGCCTCGTGGAACATGTAGTCATGGGCTGCAGAAGAAAGCTATGTAAGGGCTCTTTGCAGCGATGATCAGCACATGTATGATACAAGTTTTATTTAGGTTTCACAGTATACATTAACCCCTTTTAGTAATAGTTATCTGCAGCTGAGCTACAGATATTTTTGCATTAAGTGATAATTATATTATGTATAGTTAAAATTTTATTACTTATATTATATGTCTTAGTGACAGCAGGTGCAGGGAGCTTGTATCAAGCTACCTGCCTATGACAAGGGAGTTTGTCATGTATATTATATTACAACCTGGTTTGAAAATCTGGAAAACAGTGTTTTAGGCCGTTACATTTTTTCTTTAAATACAAATTTTGATTTGGTCTTGATATGTACCAGACTTAACCTCTTAAGTATATGCTATATATCTCTTCTGTTATTCTGAATTCCTGATTAGAGATTTTGTTCCCTAACCTTATAACCTGTTATCTATACAAGGGGCGTGCAAGTAATACCTGGACTTTTGAGTTTATATAATAAAAAAAACCAACTTTCAAGGAGTGGAAACTGCTTTTTTTTTTTTTTTTTTACACATACTTCCCTGATACATTTATACACATATCCCAGGGTTTAATGCCCTGAAAGCTTTGGCACAGAAAGATTTGTCAATACACCTGAACCATCCTAGGACAGCCTGCTTCATCATCAGTGCTGAAATGCTGACCTCCAAGGAACTCTTTTAGGAGTCCAAAGAAGTGGAAATCACTCATAGCAAGGTCCTGCCTGTAATGGGGAAGTGGCAATACATTCCAGCCGAGTTGCTGTAATGTGCATGTAGTACAGTAAGCAGTAGGAGCTTGTGTGCTTTCCTGGAAAAACAAGATGCCCTTAGTGATCAAACCAGGCTGTTATTTCCACAGACATGTATTCACATCACTTAGTACACAACAGGAATATTCACTGTCTTGGTACCCAGCATGCGCTAATTTTTCGAAAATGCAAATATTTGTGAATGATTTTGTTCACCGATCCCACAAAAAGATGAGTCTATTGGGCAATTTCACAACAGGTTGTGCGTCGATTATCCAGGATCAGGCGTTCCACGTGCTGAATGCTCACTGGAATGACTGCTGTGTGCTGGGAACCACCATGGCTGGGATCGTTACTGACAGACGTACGGCCATCTTTGAAAAGTTTACATCATTCAAATGTCTTATTGCGGCTGAGCGTCTCTTCACCGTACTGTCCTTGAAGCCTTCTGTAGATATCTGTGGGTTTTACTCCTTTATTCACAAGTAACTTCATCACCACACGCTGTCCCATGAACACACTCTTGTCTGCCATATTGATTATACGCGGTGACGTCACGCTGCCGCCGAGACCACGAGGAGGTCTGGCGGCCATCTTTTTTGCTGTACATGGTCAGTGACAGTTCTTATACTGTTTCTATTGTATCACACTATCTTTCATAAATGCTTATTGCTGGAAAATACTACACTATGGGCATTCTTCTTTCTGGCTCTATATGAGTCAATACCGCCATAGAGCCCATACCTGGAGGACGACAGCTGTGGGGCAGAGTACCAGGGAGGAAGGAGATCTCGTGGACCTGACCAGGCTGACTACCTTTTAAGGGGTGACCTCCGGCCTTATATCATATACCATGCACATCATGATCTGTCATCGGGTGAGTGTGCATTTTTAACATCCCTTTGACACATCACCTGTATGATCATCTGGGAACGCACGGATTACCCACCAGAGACTGTTTTTGTTCACATCAATCACTAATATCTATTTTGAACTTTTACTTGCTCTCTACTTAGGGGAGCTTCGTGGATCACATATGCGGATTGGATGCGGTTTGAACCACATGCAATCAAAATGACATGTGAAACAAAAACAAAAAACATTACTTCCTATGGTGCCTGTTCACATATGTCTGATGCACTGGCAGTGCAGATTCAGTGCGGTTTAAAAGTCATGCCCAATCTCTGAGCAGTGCAATCTGGTTCAGGTGCAGATTACAAGCAGTTGACTTCTATGGGAACCATTTCTAAACCACATATGTGTGATCAGGATAATCCTGAGAGCCAATCCTGTCCTGAACCTGATGTAAACCTGACATGAATCGGTGAACAACTACCGTATCAATTAGCTGTGAAACCTGAGCTTCAATTCGCACCACACATGTGTGAATCAGCTCAAAAAGATCCCGATTTGACTTGAATGCCCCTCGTATTTTCCACTGCTTATAGATATTCAAAAATATATACATGTATTTTTTTAAACTTTCCATATTCACTAAACTGCACACCACTCTTTTTACTTCTAGCTATGTTTTTTTTTTTTATTCTGCTTTTTAAAAAATTTGTACAGTTGTGTAATGCAAATGCAATGTTCATGCTTTTTATTCTGCAGTTTAAGTGCAACACTCAATTTGTTCATTAAATTATCATAAATAAAAGAAAGAAAAACCGGCATGGTGAGGTTTTTATCAAATTGAAACAATAAATCGGCCAACTAATTGATTATAAAATTAATCGTTAGTTGCAGCCTTAAACATTTCAGTTGTTCTAAAAACAGAAATTTCACTATTAATGCAAACCCTAATTCTCTAATCCCTGGCAGCTAGAACACCACACTGATTTCCAGGGTCAGTAGGAGCACTTCCTGGAGTGAAGCCTGTGCTGTAGAATTTCCTCTCAGCAACAATCACCTTAAGGGCTTGTGTCCATGGTACCAGTTTAACATCAATCTGAGATCATTCAGGACTCAATGACAGGTGCGTCTGACCTGCAACTCGGTTCCTTCTCAATCACGTCAAGCTGATTTTGCAATTCCATAGACTTGTAAAGAAATGCAAAACCTGCTAGAGGTGATTAAAAGCTGATCAACACAGGTCATTAAACTTCCAAAGTTGGTCTAGTAGAGACTGGTTGCAAAAATAAATAAATAAAAAAAAATATATGGATTTTAAAGTGGTGTCACTTAAATCTTGTTCTAATTGCACCTATAACTTAGTATTATAGTGATGTTTCCAATCAGAAATTCTGGTCAAGGTGACAGCCAAAACTATTTTTTAAAATCAGGTAAGGCTAGGCCTCCAATCAGCTTTCAGCCACGTAAAGGATAGCATTGGAGACTTGGGGCTGTGTTCGGTTCCAAACCGATCCAAGAATCAGAAAATGTAAGGTTAAAAAAAGAAAAAAAAAAAAAGTGGGGATGTTGTATGGCAGCATCTGAAAAAAGAAAAAAGTACTCTGGGTAAAATATTCATTTTTTATTACACTGGTTCTGCCTAACCAAGCCTGGGCTTGGAAAATCCATCAATGCAAGTCCAGCCTATTCAAGGTCAATAGGGGGATGTAGTTCAATCTAAACAAGCTGGGAAGGCAGGGGGCAAGTAAGATACCAAGATATCTTAAGGAATTAGTTTGCCATGAAAAAAGGGAAGAATTGTTTAAAAGGAATAGTTCACCTTCAAAGAACTGTCTATGCAGGTAAGGGGCATCTTGGGAAAAAAAAAAACAAACAAAAAAAAACAAACAAACAAAAACTGTGTCACCGACTAAAGTTGAATGATGTCCTTGCTATAGGTGTAGGCCATTTACATACCTCATGAAGCCTGGCTGGAATACACCTAGACTTGCTAAGTGAGGCCTAGTCATTACTGCTCACCACTACCATCGCAAAGGAGTGAGCTTTTTCTCTGATTCAGACCCCCTCACATGCTCCCTGTCTCCCCTGATACAGTAGCTCTGAGCCTGAAAGCTCACTCCTGTGATGGATGAGGTGAGCAGTAACATGTAGGCCTCACTTATTATTACAC